TTATGAGTTCAAGTAATTCGTATGTGAATGTTATTTTCAACTGCACAATAAAAACCTAGAGTTTACTTCTAAAACAGTAAAAAAAGCAATTCACATAAAAATCTATGGTACAAAATCACATGAGACTGTGAGAAGACGTCTGTATTTGTGCATTACATCTTTTAAATTACCGATAACGCCATATAGAAACGTACTTATACTCAAAATCAATCAATCAAGATTGAAATCTACACTATAAAGGATATTCGATAAATCCAAATTTATTTTATCATACTGACGGAAACCTCTAAGGAACCTTACGTATATGAATAAAAAAATGTTTTTAATAATCATTATTACGATAATACTAATGCATACGACAAATACCAAATAAATATATCAGTTCAATTTTAGAAAATTTATATGGATGAACAGTTTTAGAGATAGCCTCTAAAATAAATTTGGTTCTTAATAAACTGTCTAAAATATTGCAGAAATATTCTAGTGCATACTTATCAAAGGAAGAGAACATTCAATTTCAAAACTTACTCCTTCTTCGAAGTCAGTTACAAAGCAAACAAGATATACATGAACATATATTACCAATGTGATAACATATTTTATATGTATAAATATATCCCTATATAATAAATGGTTTTTAAATATTTTAACGGAAACGATGGTCTTAGTTTATATGTATTTGAAATTATCAAAGGTTTATCTACCAAACCTTGATGTTTGCAGGCAGGTTTTTTTTTTAAGTTTTTATGGCACTGGGTTCTAGCGCGTTACAGGATTAAACGTTTACAGGCATGTATACTATATGTATCTTTATAAATATGTATATAATTGTAATAACATCACAGAAAAACCAAAAAGTATGCATTAAATATTTTAGAAATGTAGTTATGGATGTATTGCAAATCCGATACTGAACTGAAAACATTACTCTTTCAAATCTTTGTTTGTATATATATACGGAAAAACCGGATCTTCTGTATCTTTGTTTAAAACGAGTTTAAAACAATCAGACTGTAATATTTTCATAATATAAACTTAATATGGGTCCACATAAAGGTAATACAACAGTTAAAAAAAACATGACGAAGGGGTATTTTTTAACTTCAAATTGTAATTTTTAAACGCCATCTATTGTTAAGTTCTGTATTACATCTACTTAACACTAGGTGGCATCAAAGAATATTGTAATAAATATTTATTATTATAAAATCGCGGACACAGCTAGTTTAATATAATGCTGTGTCTGTGACGGTTGATGCTTTCTGTTCACAGATTACGATCGATCAGATAGTAAGCGGTAACTCAAGATTCCACAACACTTCACATCAGCAGTATTATGAACGTCCTACGCTGTTCTGTGCAACAAACTGGTGAAATGTGAAAACTAACTTATATGACAATAATAATTCTGTTTTTAATAGGACTTTAAGTAATTTGCAAGTCTGAGAACAGAACACTATGTCAGTAATTAACCTATATACGTATATGTGTATATATATTTTTGCATGCAATATAATTAGTTATGTATAAATTTATGTTTGTGTAGTTCTCCTTGTTTAAAAATTGTCACAGTATTATACACCGCTCTACCCGCTGATATTAATGCTCCTTTCCAGTTTGGGTTTACTAGAAAAGAACTTTTTAGAGCTAAGCTCGTTTCTGTACATTTGATTTGATTACTTACCTCTGTCATAGTTTTTATATAATATTAGTGTGTACAATAAAATATAAATAAATATAAATAAAGTAAAAATAAATGTAGAATGCTAATAGTTTTAGAAAACTACTACCACTTAATAACTGTTATGACTCATGTATGTAGTATGATTATACGATCATGAAATAGTCAATCGTGCCTAAATTTTAAACTTAAAGAAAATGTTTATAATTTTCTTTTATAATTAAATTGTGTTCAATAAACAAAAAACCGACTTCAGTTGTAGCAAATCAGTTATTTTGATTTAAAAACTAAACTGCTAAACCAATTTTGATAAAATTTCTATAGAGCCAATCTACAAATATATCCTTTGAGATAAAAAAAAGTATTTTTGAAATTGGTTTACAACTGACGAAGTAATGAGGTAACAAACATAAAAAAACAAATACAATTGAATTGAGAACCTACTTCTTAAAGTCGAAGTTATATTAGGTTTTAATTTCTATAAATATGTTGGTTTCTTTATCAGTAGCAACGTGGAACTTAGCTAAAACGAAATCTCGATAATCTAATCGGCATTACATATATACTAAAAAATAATTATTGAAATATTACCTTTTCATCCATTGTATAACTATACAATGAATGAAAGGGTAATATTCATAAAACATAACTATGCTTTATGAAACTTTCTTAGGGTCTTACGTATGCCAATTGCAAAAATGGGAGTTTATAATTTTGTTACTTCTATCTGGCTATCTGTTCTATAGTTATAATACTCATAACACATTTTCAATTCATGCTTTGGTGTACACATTGTTTATTTGACTTTTACAAACTCGGACTCAGTCTAGATATTCGTGCCAAGTTTCATCTTATTATACTAATATTTTCTATTTGTATATAATAAACGTTTATTTTACCGGTAATTTTGAGGTGGTGTTTATAAAGTTCACTCTTTATAATGTACCTACTGGCTAAAGTATGCTTTTCAGCTAATATCAAACGTTTATCCACAAAAAAAAAAAAACAAATCTTGACAATAGAACAATACGAAAGTATAATATTTTTTTAACTATAGAAAAAAATATCAAAATCTAACTTTAAATCGGTAATAACATAGAATTAGAAACTGGATATATTCTTATTCTAACTGAGTTACAATTTTAGCCGAGTGATGTACGTAACTATCTACGAGGGACGTTGGAAATATTCCAGTTTGTTGTAGCAGCTCGTAACATTTATCTAGACACTGTAAACTAATCTAGGAAATTGCATGGCCCATGAATCAAGTCTTAAAACTGACGTTATGAATCTATCAAGTGGCTATTTGATGTTATTCAGAAATCTACCGTAGTTGTTTTTCTCTCTATATCTATTCATATAAAAACCAGAAAAGGAAAAAGAATATGAGGTATCTATTACTTAAAGTTCCAGATATCAAATTATATGAATACAATTTCATCAATATACCTATCTGTAATACCTAAACATTATAAATTAATTTGTTTTTATAATGAAACCTAAAAAAATTTCTTGTATATAGTTTTTATCATACTAATATATCATTTTGCCTGTGTTCTTAAAGATTTTTTATGAGATTTCGAAAAGAAAAAGTTCTCATTTTGACTGCATTTGATAAGCACTTGACACGATTTTAGTGTTTGTTTTTTATCTAAAGGTACCTGGTTACATATAAATATATTAAATTATTCATCAGCTTAGTACATTGAACTGAACTAGAACTGGCAGTAGGTCACAGATTCCTGGCGCCTGTCGAGGTGCAATGCATTCACCATTTATTTGGCATCTTTCTTATGTATGCCAAATAAATTTGTTGCGAAATTATACGATAAAATGAACATTGATTAAAGGTTTTAGCTACGACTATACCGTCTTTATTGTTTTTGCTACGCTTTCTATACAGCTACAGAGTTGCTGTTTTATAATCATATAGATAAATTTTTACCATCCTCAGAGCTATAAAAATATGTTCACTGATGGACACGAGTCTCTCTCCATAAAAAGAATATTTAGGCTACGTGAATGAATGAATAAATTCAAATAAACATGAGTTACAGCAATTATACCCAAAGAGATGTAATAAATGTACAGTTAATGAGTTTCTTGTGGGTTCTTCACAAATAACAACATCTGAAGTTCTGAGCCCATTGGTAGAATTGTAAAAAGTACTCGTAACAATTGCACATTTCTCGCGTCGAAAGAACCGACGACGCCGAACTTTCGGGTTGAACCTTTCTTTACTAAAAATAGCAATTCGTATTTACTAATAACAGTAATGTATAAAGTTTCATAGATATATAGATTGAGAATTTCATACACCTAACCAATTCTATAATTAAAGATTTCGATGCATTTGGCGAAGATAAATTTCAGCTCTTAATTCTGATCAAGAATCTGTTTAAATAAAGCATTAAATAAAAACGATTTCTTAATTTGTGCGATATGATATATTAATTTGCGTTATCTTTAAAACCATTTTATTTATAATATATATATTTTATTTAAAAAAAATAATATATGGTAAAAAAATGTAATCAGTAAAATATCATTCACCCACACGGACAGATAGTAGGTATCTAACCAATTTGAAGATTAGATTAAACGCATGTGACCAATTTGAGTTGCATTATTGATTGGTGTATTTGCTTCAGGATTTTGTACTCAAGTTACCTTTTCCGGTCACTTACGATAAAAATACCTAAGAAGAAGTAGTATATTACGAGTGAACAGGTAGAAAAGCTCGACCGTTGTAACTTTTTCTATAGATACCTGAGTGCTTTATCTTGAGGTCTAAAACATTGGTCATTGTCTATTTACAGAATACAATTTGTTAAGGGAAAGTAGATTTTGGTTGTTATTTAGACAGCGATAAGTGAACGATCTTGTTGATCCCAAAAAAAAAAAACTAAATAATTTATGATGACTTAGAAAGTAAAAAAAGATTTATGTTTTGTAAAATGCGATATCATTAAAATGAAATATTTATAACTTAAGGAATCCCCGAAGAAAAATACCTACACCTACATAGGCTAAGGTTACTTTCTGTGTACCTGTGTAGATCCTACTCATGTCCCAAGTGTACATAATTTATATGCAGAAACTAAGTACATATGAGTAAAGAAGATAATGTTCTGTTTTGTAATAATCACAATAATAATTCCGATAAGTTATCTTTCTTATAATAAGTACCTAGTACATAGCGCTATACTCTTGTAATATGAAATTGTTAATGAAAAAACATTTTGATAGTAAGCCATATGGAGGTCGACCTTCACACATGACATCATGCCGCCTTAGGATAAGTAAATTAAACACCCACCAACTGGTTTTACTTCCATCGCTGTTAAATGTGAGATGTTCAGCAACCGAAAATCCAAAATAAGAGCCCGCCTCCCCATATTTTATCACTGGAATCCTTGGTTCTAGATTGAAAGTATGCACACCAAATAAAATGCAAAAAAATATAACACCACCGCATCGAATTTTTGCCGCCATCATATACACTGTTCGTTGTATCGTTATGTTATTTGTCGTATTGTCGCATCTATAGATTATGTCCGAGTCAGTAATTGGCACATCGCGATTTTCGTAGAATAGTTGCTCCGCGGGTGGCAACGTACACACGAGCGACACTACAGCCGGTCGACGGTCGAGTCAACTCGACCTATTCCCAGTAAACTTCGTGTTTGTTAGTACAACAACATTATAAAGGCATGTGAGTGAACTCATAAAATGAAAAAATATGATTAACGCCATCTCGTTACAAGTATTGGAGGCTTAACTAATATAATGCCATCTAGCGTTATATAGGCACATTACTTTTAGATAAGCAAGGTTGGTTATTAACAGTGCCAGTTAATTTCGGATGCTTTATTGTTGTTATGTACGAAATATTTCATTATGTAAATGTTAGGTTGCACTTTATATACTTTTTCGCCATCTATCAAACTGGACAATAAAAAAAAATTTAAGAGGACTCAGAGGGTTAATCAGATGTGGAGAGTTATTTGCAGTAGTTTCACGGAAATTATTACGATAATTTTTGACCCTAGCCATAGTTTGACTCTAATGGCTTTATCAATTAACAAATGACAAATCTAGGTAAAGTTTTATTAAAATCGCTACACAGCAATAAAGAAATACTGAAATTAGGTACCAACAACTTCTATTCACTGGATATACCTTAATCAAACAAATATAAAGAAAGCAAAGGATCCTTCCTTAATTGTCTCTACATTTGTTTATGTATTTTTTATGCAACTTAGAATGACAAGCGAGCTGACGGCCCACTTGATGAAATGTAATAACCGTCGCCTATCTATAGACATGAGCAGTACCGTTGACATAACAAAGTATACTATTTCACCTATAATACCCCCTTCCCCCTCTATGCGTTGTCATTCTTGAGAAATAGTGTTATGCCTCTGTACCCTGTAAATTCACTCATCCTTCAAATCGAAACACAGCCATGCACACAACAGTTTCACGATTGAAACACCAATGGGACAGAGGTACCCAAGCAAACGACTTTTATACAATACCTCCCTCTGGGAGATATCGAATAATTTAATAAGTTTTCAGAATAAGAGCACAGAAAGTTATTTTTTATAGCGCACCTGAACTTAGTCTACTAGTTCCTTTCTAGGTTAGGTAAACAAAACCAACAGCTAACTATTTGTATTTGCAATGATTTATTATTAGGGCTATAATATTAATCATTATTTTCACCGGTACCTTTCCTGTACTGATTACCCAAATTGAATTATTTATCTCTAACTACACTGGGTTGGCTGGAAGAGATCTCTTTCAGAGATAAGTCCTCCCTTGCTAACAAGTTGTTAAACTAATCGTCGCATGTATTGTTTAAGTGCAATAAAGAGTATATATATATATATATATATATATATATATATAGTTCCTCCTTTCATACTAACGTACACAACGTATACTACGTAACAGACCACAAATAACTTTAGTGCAGCTCTAAATAGTACTAGGCAGTTGTATCAAACCTAGGTTGTAGCCAACTTAGAGAAGGCAACCCTGAATGAAAATGAAAAACTGCAATGCACCCATTGCAGTATATTTTCGCTCATATTTCATATAAATCAAGTTTCATTAAACATTTTATAACTGCAGAATTCAGCAGCGGAATATTAGTCTAGAAACAAAACATATCTTATGAAAGGCCATTACAATGTTTGATTATTTTTAGTTTCGTTACTTATTTTACTAATAACTTCAAAAAGAAGGTTATTAATTCGGATATATTTTTTTTATGTTTGTTGCCTCATAACTCCAACCGTTCTAAATTGATTTGAGAAATTCATTTTTATCTGAAAAAATATATTTACAGATTATAGTCAGAGAAATTTTATCAAAATCATGAAATCAAAATAACATATTTTGCCACAAATGAAGTCGGTTTTTTTTTTTGTGGTACACATTGTTTATTTTTATAGCACGATATATGCCCACGCCATCCTGAGCGAACAGCGACAACATGGTGTATAAATGCAATCAACCGAAAAGAGGATTTTAGATCTACTTTTATATTTACTAAACATTAATAAGAATATTTTAATTATAGTAATACTACAGAGATCAGAGTCTAGGATTTGAAGCCCATAATTTGCGATCCAGAGCTTAATGACCTGTGATTTACTTACAGGCCAATATTTTTGCTGTCCTCCTTATATGGCAGGTAGGTGTAGGAAATAATAAACAATAATATATCACAATGGGTCTCGTACGAGCCCCCGCCCGAACATCGCCCAGAGGTGTGGTCTGCAGCGGGAGACTTGCAGTCTAAGCTTTATTGCGTACATCACATCTCTCTCTTATTTCAGTATTTATAGGTTTAGATGACATTCCGATCTTTAGACATAAGATATAACAGTAGCTGTGTTTTGTGGTTTATATTATATTTACATTCAGATACACGTTACCATGATGGTGCCATGGTGAAATGAAAATCAAACATATAAAATACAATTTGTTTTATTTTTATTTTAGAAATCATATATTATAGGAGTAAAAAAAAAGAAAATAATACGAAGTATACAATTGACGACATATAAATATTTTGAAGAACAAAAAAAAAAGGATTTTTCTTACAAGTTCATATTTCAACAAGTTACATATGGTTGTTGCTAGAATTTGATTTCGACTATAACTCGAAAGCCGTTTGTCTTATGTTATTCTCTCAATAAAAAGTTATATCATTAAAAAAATTAAACAAAATACTGATAAACAACTCATATTAAACTTAACAATAATTATGAATTTTTAAGTTGTTACTATTCAAATAATAATAACCATGAGAACACTTTATAAAAGTACTACTCCTTATGTTGTAACTAATAATTGTATAAGTAGTCCTTAACAGTTCTTGAGGTGTTAGGATTTAGACTTTTTAAATGTTTCACTAAAGACAAGATGGAACCACTCTACAACCGAATCATATGAGCAGACCATTATGCTATAGTACAGTAGACTAAAGTCTTCCCTTCGGTTGCAAAAAACTCGTGACCAAATCGATTAACGTTTGACGGAGCCTCTGGCGTGCCAGGTGTTTTTTGTTAGTATTACAACACTATTTTGCCAGCAGCATTGCTGTAAGTGTTGCAATACCATTCAGGTCATTCACAGCGATTTACGGAAGAGGATGGAAGCTGAGCTGTGTCTGTGAGTGCGCGAACAATAAGTTCAACTGGGAGTCCAATCCCACGTTGAATACTTTAACAAGTTTTGCTACAGAATTTCCTGGCTCTTTGCGCACTAGTGCTACTCCTGACACCTTCATCAGATGCACTTCAGAGTCCACAGAGCCTCCACCTGTTGTAGCCAGTTTCACATGACAAGTGACGTCTACATGAACGTATTTCTCTACAATCTTTCCGCGTTTGTTGGGTACATCTACAAATACTGTCTTCTCTTCAACTTGTGGTAAATCAGCCCTGAAGACGCTTGCTTCTCCGAGTAGACCCTATAACAATACTAATATTTAGTGATGACCTTGTAAAAAATCAAAAATATATAACAGGAACTGCCAAGGTTCTTTGGCAAAATGCCAATGTAATATGCAATTAGAAATTAGGTTTACTCTGCCAAAATAGTAGTCTCGTAAGTTATGCTATTTAAAACATCACGTGTGGTGTAAACAAAATATCTGTATCTGACTATTCATTACAGTTATTACGTTTTACTAATGTAAATAAATTACATTTAAATCTAATTTATATTCTGCTTACCCCATTTCCGGTAATAGTGAATTTCATGCCAGGATGTATGGCACGAGTCTCCATGCCCATTCCCTCTGGGTGTGAGTCAGACCAGAAGTAATGTTCTGGAGTATTGAGGCTATCGGACTTGAAGGTGATACGTTTGCCGTAACCCATGCCAATAGATTGCAGTAATAGACTACGGCCTTCGAAGAGATGGTGCCGGCTACCAGCAGGTCTCACGCGGTAATGGAAGCCAGGGATGATACGTGGGTCAATGTATGTTCCTATAATTTAACAGAGGAATTTATTTATAGATTTCTTTCGAGTTTTTATGAAATTATAAATAAAATAATTATTTCGTAACTAATTTCTAGTTAACTACATAGGTAGTTAATTAGGAAATTGGAAGAAGAAAGGATCTTTATTTATAAGAATTTAGTATAATATAACAAGAATTCTCTCAAAATATCAAAACCATTTGTAAATAAGTAGGTGTAGATAGACAATAACAACAACATCAAATATCAAATTTATTGTTTAATGTCTTAATAACATCAAAATTTCAAAGAAGTATTTTTTCCTCTCATTTCTACTATAAGCCCTTGAACTTGGTATATTGATAAACGACATATTTTTATTTTGTTTAAACTGAAGATCGTTGGCCATTTTTAGATCATAAAATATAGTTAAGTTATCAATGAAAGTAACACAAGTGTTTTCCAAGGTATAAAATTGAGCATAATTTTATTTTTAACTATTATTGGATGATAATTTGTTTATGTATAATCAGTAAACAAATATTTTCTGCATAATGATTTCTTTTCATCACAAAAGTCGAATCAAGAAAATTCGAACAGATAACTATAAGGAATTCTTCCCTTCCTTCAAATCAACATATTATTCCAATTTCAAATAAAATTTATATTATTATATGACAATTTGTCATAAGCTCTGAAAATAAAACACATGATTTATTACCTATAACGGGAAGCTCGTATTTCTCGAGGCCAACAACGCAGTATTGGCATGGAATGTCTTTAATATCGTTGCCGTTGACTGTAATTCTTCTAGACGATGACTCAATGCCTGGCTTCAGTTCGTATCCTTTCCTCAGTTGTTTGATACCAATAGCTACGTTTACCACTCTCTCTACAGATGCTTTGCCTCGACCTTTTTTCAAAATAGCAATACCAGTGACTGGAACTAGTTTTGTAGCACCATCATTCTCATACCACTCCACTTTGCACAGTGTATTGATTTTCACTTTTTTAACAATTGCTCCGTCATCGCAAATCTGTTGATCCAATTCAACTTGGTTTTTCTGTAAAGTAAGTTAAAAAAAGTTGATTTCTTTAAAAAAAAGTACTTAATATTTATTAACTCAAAATTAACATCTTGTTTTACAAACATGTTTTAATGAAATGTAATTTGAATTCTAGTATGAACCAGAAATATGTGACTTATTAAAATTATATAGTTTGACAAAGTACATCTCTTCCTTGTCACATTAAATTCTCTACTTCTATCATCATCTTACTACCCTTATCCCAATCATTTGGGGTCGGCATAATATGATTTTATCCATATAACAAAAATATTTGGTTTTTAGTTTTACGACCGGCCACCTGCCTGACGTCAATCCTCTTTAGGAAAAATTCTCTACTTCTATATAATTATAAATTAGAATAAATCAATGAACAAACGTTACCTGCTGTTGTACAACTTCCAAAATCCCTTGAGGTTCATGGTTGGCATCATAGATAGTAAACTTATCTCCAATTGAAACAGCTTCAATTTCAAAAACAAATCCTTCTGGCCTGGAGTCAGTCCAGAAATAATTGTTATTCTCATTCAGCGTGCAGTCATGAGGCTCGAAGGTGATTCGTCTTGCGAAGCCTCGACCAATTGATTGCAGGGTAAGTGCTTTTCCATCGAACAAATATCTGGGCTTCATCGATAGTGGGGCAGCATCTAGAGCCTGAAATATAAGAGAATGATATAATACACTGCTCTGTAAGAAAATTATCTACTTCTTTTTCTTTTTTATTTTCATCACCTTTGAATTAAATTTAAACAGTTGCATTACAGAAATTACAGAATTTATATTTTTTTATCATTGTAACAAATATTTTTTTGCATTTAACTTTGAAAACACAAATGTTGTCAATTGTGATCAATGCTATGACTATTTTGTTGGCACGACAAAATGGTATATTTAATGTTACATAACAAATTATGAATTTGAAATGAATGGATGTGATGAATAATAATCATAACAACATCACATCTCTTAGCAACTATATGAATAACATGGCGTGACGCCCTTATGAATGATACTTATGGTTTACCTATTTGCACATAACATGCTCCAGCCAGTATGTCGTTTTCGACCTGTCGGGTCACAGCACGCAATCTTGAGTAGGTTTGTATTCAACGCCGCACTGGGCGAGGGTCTGAAAAACTGGACGATCCACATACCATCGCCTACACGACAAGTGCACACAGCTAGTGGCCATAGATACGTGTTAACAGTGTTGAACGTTGATAATATTTTCACTCTGGAAATGTCAGCAACGGACACCGCTACTCACTGAACTAACCCACTACCACTATTCAAATCTAACCAATCTGTGACTTTTACTGAACTGCTGAAACAAGCTAGCGACATTCTTAGGTTCTTAATGAGGTTGGACCCATTTTTAAAACATTGACTTTAATGGAAATCAGTTTTAACAGAGCAACAATTCTTTAAACGTCTCGTAAGGTTGCCATTACAATAGTTGCATAAAAATTTTAAGAGGTTACATTTGGAGCTTATGTACCTAATATTGGACAATTTATAATACAATAGATTTTTCTGTTAAACATTTCTGCAAATTACGAACTAGAAATGTAAGAAACAATTTTGACGTTTGACGTTTTGGTAATGTGTAAACTACGTGTCCTAACTGTTCTACTTGTTTAACCATTTAGACAACATGACAACCTTACTTATAATTGTGCTTTATACCGTACATTTCTTGTAATTTGTTTTGATATAGATTATCAATTCTAAATTTATCGCTTGTGGTTGAGTTTGTTTGATACTCTGCGAATAACCATTTGTTATTCCTATCTATATTACTGTAGATATTATATAAATATTAAGTATCTGACAAATAAGTTCTAGTCTTAAGAATATTCGCATAGTCCATGAACATTTTTGTAAGATATGAAAAACTCACCATCCACTTGATCCTGAAAAGGACAAAACCTTACAAAAAAGTTCAGAAGATAAACCACAAACGATTTTTTATTCATAAATAGGAATCATGTATTAATATTATATTATTCTCAATTAAATTATATGATCAATGTTTATTCACAAATAAAATATATGGAAACAGCACAAAATAGAGTTTAAAGTAAATTGTTCATTGGAAGTCCAAACTCAGTTTATACCTGTTATATTTTACTTCGTGCGTAGCTGTTTCTTTCGCAGTCCAGTTCAGTCGAATAATTTTGCCCAAAAACTAATATGGATCTTCGTAGTTTTCCTGTTCGTTTCCCATGTATGAAAGGTCCACATTGATGATATAAAAGCGTATTCGGTTATGTACAATATATTCATCGATGGATTAAGCAACATTCAATATCTGCTGAGGAATAGTCGTATTTTTTATTATTATATAATAAAGTAAATATATTTGAAATGTGGAAGATTGCACGTTTAATTAATTAGATGCAATCTTCAACACTTCTTTTTAAATCAATCCGACGATTCCCCACAGCCTATGCTTTGTGATACGAGAATTGCGACATCAGTAAGTATAAAATTAAATTACTCGTCTCACCTGCATAGGTCTGACTTTATATCTGAAGCCGGTCCTGACACGGGGGTCGATGTACACCCCGATTACGGGCAACTGGTGCGGAGCCAGTGGCGGTACACGGTACACCGCGGGCACATCTCCCAGAGTACTCGCATCAAGCAACACCACCTTATCCCTCGAACTGTCACCCCAGTAGCGTTGACTTGGCGCTTCTTGTACCTCCTACAAAAAATTATCACTCAATAACGCAGTCAACCTTCTACATTTGAAGGTACACTTGTTTTACTCACTTCTAAAAAGTCTACAAAAAAACTTTCCTGTTCCTCGTAAACTACTTTACCTAACATTGCCATTATATTATATTAATATTTACAATAAGAAGAAACAATGACTAGTCTATTAGCCGCTACAAGACGGAATAAAGAAAGCTCATCTAAACAATTCAAGTCCAACTAGGTAGCTATTTACAAATTATGTATATGTATCCCACGCGTCATCTTATTGCCTATCGATCTTGCCAAGAAAATGCCGAGAACAACAATTGCGGCACTATAAATGGCACTAAGTACGCATATTATAATTAATTTTAAAATATAAGTAGGACAAATTATTAAACGTTATTAAAAATTTAATTGATAAAACCGATAAACTAAAATGTAGCAAGTTATAAAAAGTTTCAAAATAAGTACCGATTCTCATAATTTAAAAACTCTATAGTATTACGAACTAGGTTTCTTTTTCTCAGTATATGTACTTTCATAAATATAATCATTTGAAGATTTTTATTGAATTAACTTCAATTGACACAATTGATCATAGCCTTCGTAGATAGATAGAGACCTATTTATACGCAGCAAATAGCTTCAATTTCTTGTGGTCTTCACAATCAAGATACAATGATTTATTGATTGTAGTAACGTAATTGGAGCAAAGTCCATTTCTATTTGTACATTTAGGTACATAGTTCTATTCCAGCACGTGAATAGTCACTACAAGTATTTAGTGAGTAATGAAAAAACTGTGCATATTCTGAATACCAAAGATTATGAGTCAAACTCTTTACATAAACAATGTTTATTTGAAGCCGTACAATGACCTGAATGTTATTACCTTAACGTTTTTAATTAAATGAGAAACCAGCGAAGCACAACAAGTGCATACCAGAAAAACAATCAAATCGACTGATTGGCACTCATTCACATAAGTGTGTGCAAGTGTTATCACACGTCGCATTGTTTATATGTAGTCTAGACACGAAAATACGACTCACGATATAGATAATAACAATATAACAACGAATCGCAGGGGGCGTGAGTGTGACGCGGTCTTGTAATTAGTAAACATCCCAAGAATCAATTGTAAACATCCTTGCGTTTACAAAGCATGTTGAACACCACTTCAGCAAATTACTTTTTCAATATTAAATTGCTTTTTATACTTACTGGTACTTCCAATCCGTTGTTAACATCTTCACCATCACTCTCACAGTCACTGGTTGTGGGCACCAAAGATTTCGTAGATCCTTCCGCTTTCTAATGAAGTAAAAAAAAATATTATAAATACACAATGGGAACTTTACGCGATGTAAACTAAAAAAAAATCATTAAATCCAACGTTAAAAGCTTATCACGTTCCTTTATCTTGATTTGTTAAGCATTTATCTCAAAGATTCAATAGAGTAAGTTTGCATTTGGACCTATCTTGTGTCTCTTAAATCAACAAGCAAATAATACTAAAGATTATCTGTTATCTCGAATAAAGTAGTACAATTGGAAAAATATATATAAATAATACTGAAATGAGGCTACGTAAATCCTTGACTTACTCAACTCATCTCATTATTTTATTTCTTTTCAATAAATAACATTGAGTATTGACATAATTATTTGATTTATTTGATAAAATATATTTATGTTTTATTATTGAATATATATCTTTAAGAAATTGCAGTGATTAGGTATATTACGATTATATACGTAGTTAATTAATTAATTCAGGCCAAAACATTGCTGTTTTACAGAAGAAATATAAAAAATAACGATGCCTAATATACTTATATCAATATCGAACAATGTCCATCTATTTTATTCATTATCATAGGTTGTTTGTATAAAAATTGAAGTAGAACTTTCTTTTTAATAATTAATTAATTCCTAACTTTCTCTCTTTAAAATTTATCATTAAAAAAATGTATTTCATTTCTGTAATTATTTCATACCTTTTTACATAAGAATGAAACTATTTTTCAAAAGTAATCTACTATGTAAGTTGTTACACACAAAAAATGTATGTGGGCATGATGACGTCAAGCGTCCAGGTAGATAAAATGTAGGTCGGGTTTCGAGAACTCTGGTCATACATTGCCTAGTCTAAATACAGCTGCCACGTAATTTCAGGAATAAGATAGTATTGCTTCTATATTCATAAATATAATATTGTATTGGTATATTGTTACTGATTATAAATGATGGATAACCATTTGACGAGGACATTTTTTCAGCGAGGTCAATGTAGGTAATGACCTTCTTCTATATTTAGATTCTGATACCATTAAATTTTACTATAATAGTGTATTAATCCGTTTCTAGTGGCGTAAATCTCTTTAGTATAAATACAGTCCCCCTATTTTTAAAATAAGTGGCCTAATATAATTTTAATATAATAAATAAAAACACCAAATAAAGTAAAAGTTAGTTTGTTTGTTACTTAGGTTACTTTTTAACTCGATCAAACAAAACCTGTGCCCCAGTAACGCAGACGAAGTCGCGGAAATTGCTAAATATTATAATTTTATGTATATTTACCAGAAACAGAATTGATTTTATTTATTTATATATTTTTATATATAAATAATTTATATATTTATATATATACTTTTGCATACATTAAAATATATCTACAGGGCGGATGTAATGCCTGATCGTATTCTCTACATACATTGATATATATTTAAAATATTTTATTAATAGTTAATTTTAAACTTCCGCATTATTGAGACGTATTTTATATACATTATCGAGGCTTGACCCGATGCGATTACAAGTAAATAGTACCTACATACCTGATTTATATTGTTGACGTATATATAAAAAAATATTATTAATTTTATACTGTTCTACTACTAATATTTATATATAAGAAAGACGTTATTTGAAAATATTTGCTATATTTTACAATCCGGGAATATGATTGAATGTCAGCATTAATTTAACAAAAACTTATTTATAAAGACTTGATCGATAATTCGTATTTATAGATATGTGGTATAAATAATCAAGAGCACGCAACCGGTGCAATGTACCCAATTAATTTGGCAGCAACGATAATGACGAAGCAAACATAATATATTGCTCTAGTAAGGTGTGCAAAATTGATCCCGTGACAACAGTAAACTTATGCTATTTAATTTATTAAATACTACGTTTATTTTACTTTATTTATGGTGTCATATTTCGCTGATAGCGAGTTCCAGCGAGGGGCCATATTAATATGTTAAGGTTGTAAACTACTCAATATTCGGTAGACGTTTGGTCGAATACAAGTACCTTTTTCCTGCGCAATAATCCACCACTTTTTACAAATCCTTTTATTCACAAAAACGTTGAACTTCATATAAACCTATTTTAGCTATTGAATTATTATATTATTATAGCTGTTTTGTCTTTTTCTTTTACAATAAGTTCCTAATTTGAAAGGAAAAAGGTTTATATGTATAATACATGCATAATATTGTAAAGAAACACTGAAAAATTTAGTGGTTTCTAATCTGACGTGATGTAATGAGTACCCGCGCGAAGCTGGGGCGGGTCGCTAGTATATAATATTATGAGATCAATCAGTAACGATTATAATATTTACTACGTAATTTATTTAAAAAATATGAATAATTTTTGTGTCTCTACACTAACCTGGACATAAGATAGGGTTTCTTCGACGAGCGCTGGTTCCTCGGCCAGCGCAGTGGCAGTAGAAGTCCCAGCGAGACGAGCCCGGGTCATGCTCCAGAGACGCTGGAGAGCCAAAGGGGTTTCTTCGGATTGCATCTCAATAGTCTGACCAGCGAGCATTATAATTTCTTTTCAGGTCTGTAGGAAAGAATTTGATGTGAAACAAAGATAGACAGACTATTTTTATTATTTATTATTATAAAATATTAATAATTTAATGCACGGTTCCATTCTAAGTATTTATATTATAGAAGGGCGTTATTTGGAAAATATTGCTATGTCCCGTTCTAATCCGAAAATATGATGAAATGTCAGCAATTTAACAAAAACTTATTTATAATAACTTGATCAATAGTCCGACTAGCAAATATTATAATTTCTTCTCAGTTCTGTAGAAAAGGATTTTACGTCAAACAAAAATCGACTACTTTTATTATTGTTTATTTGTTCATTAGTGCATGTATATATACAAGGCGAAATTAATGCTAAAAGCATTCTCTCCCAGTCAATCATAGGGAATTGTTACTTGTATAAATTAGGCGACTGTGAAAAAATGACGATCAATTATTTTTCCTCTTTTTTTTTCAACTACACATCTAGTATATTGCTATTACGTCGATTCTGAACGTATTTTCACAATTATTTTTACAATTCAACGTAGTTTACTCCCAACTTGGCCTCATTTCAATTTTGTGACGATTGAAACTGTTGAATTGAAATACCACCTGTGAAACAAAACCTATATGTAAATGCGCGATTCCACGGTCTAATTTCAAATAATTTACAATGTAGGGTAGGTCGCCTCATACCTATCGGTTTATGTCACAAAAAGTTGCTTTGTTTAAGCAAAATGTATTTGTATATTAATATTCTTTTATTTTATTCTTCGTTTATAATTATTCCGATAACACATAAAGGTGTAAAATAGAATTGTTTGGTTGAAGCGCATTTTATTTATCGTTACATGTATTACGTAATACTTTTTAAAGATAAAATTGAAGTAGGTTTTAGTATTTAACTAAAAATATATTATCTTTCATAGTATGAGTATGATTACGTAATAGACAATATTATTGCGCATTTGTCAATTTTTCTTATTATTAAGCAAATAATGCTTTTAAATAATGCAGAACTTGAAATGGTCTATTTACAGCAGAGAATAATTGATATCTGGCTGTAATAAAAATGGCTCATTGAGACATAATTATCATGTCATCCACTGTTGAATGTATATCTCTGCCATAGAGAACAAAAAATAATCCTGTATAACCAGCGTTCATAGACTCTCTATTTCAATGAATACCTTGAATAGTACCAGTAATATGACAGAAACCATGTATTGATTTTTTAATCACTTTATTTTTTATCTGCAGAAACTAACTAAGGAATAGAAATAAAATGGACCCGTTTGATTGAATTATTAAGGTAGCAAGAAGTGACAAATCCGCGCAACAATCAAAGCAAATCCACGCTCACAATATTTGAAGTACAGCCTCCTATACCTGAACAAGAACTGTGATTTTCGAAACTTACTCTACCTAACATATTAAGTACAGGTACAGTGACACTAAAATAACAGTACTGCATCAAGTTATTACGGAAACTGCCAATGACGTCGTGAATCATTGGTAGGTACCTATGAATTGTAAATATTTTATATATATTGAAATTAAGATTTTAATTATAAATACTATATAAATAAAACAACAGATTGCGTAATTATAAATAACGGTCAAATACCTCAATTTTTGGTTATGTTCACGTTTATTTTTATCATTTGTATTGAATGAACAAGTTATTGATCTCTTATATTTATAGCAAGCGCTTACATAGTATCTAAGTTCTACGTACCTTAATGGTTTTAATTAACTTTCTCAATTAACCTAACTCTCGTTAGGATATATATATATATATATATATATTTTTTTATACCACGCGCGCGTGAGGTGGCTCTCGGGAAACAAGCATACGGCCCATATTGATTATTAAATAAATATCCTGATGGTAAGCGGTTAAATATTTAATGCTAGCTGTGTATGTAGTAGCTTTGCCTGCGTAAATTAGTACATAAAATATCCCATGAGCTAAGTTATAATATGTTATATTACGCTTATCTGTGAACCAAATTTTATGAACTATCCTGCAATACCAGAGAATATTATAATAATACGATTTTTAATTTTTTTTTTTAATATATCCGCTTAGCTCTCTATAAATAGCGCGTTGCCGACCCAAATGAAGACACACAATAACTTTTTTTACTTTACCCCACCTTGAAGAACCTTTTATTATTAAAATGGATTCTCCAAAAAGAAATAGATACTTTCTTAGGGTTTATGAGTTATAGAGTATTTATCTGTATTAACCTAATATCTAATATTGTATCCATTACTAAAAGGAAAAATGGAAAACGTTTTGTAAACCGGTTTAAACTGGTTAAAAAACCCGACTTTACCGGTTGCTACAGGGAAAGCCTATTTTCAATAATGGAGAATGCTGCATTTACGATGATATAAAACGTTGCACTCAACTTCCTCATGAATTTATTCATCCATAGATACCTATTCAAATTTGAATCAATGTAACTGAAGAGACGTCTTCACCGTTTCTCAATTTAATAATTTTGTCTTTCATTATATTTGTTAATGGCGTATACCATCACTGGAACGTTAATATTAACTGATGCTGTTTTTGAATTGATACCTATTCTATTGTATTTTTATTTACTCTACTATTTATTCCTAACTGTAATCGTCATCTATTTATAATTCTTTCCTATCCACACAAGAATTTTCTGAATCATCTCTGTGCTATATACTGAAATCTCATTATAGTGTAAACAGTAACGTTGTGCCACACAATCCCAGCTCGAGCTGAGAACCTGTGTAATGAGAAATCATGCACCGAACATCTGGAAGCACAACCCAGAACATCCAATCCGTACCAATTCAGATGTTCTTTTCCTTAAATGGTTCGACCGGGAATCGAACCCGGCCTTATTTAATCAAAACAAAGTATTTACCATTGCGCTACGGAGGTCGTCGGAACAATTAATGAGTTCCAGTTCAATTCCCGGTGAGTACCTACTGACTCTCACGGGAAAAGTAATCATTATAAGCAATAAATTGTTCTATAAAATTATGAAACTTTTTCATAATTTATACATTTTTATAAATACAGTTAAATTATTAAGTTTCATAAATACGTATTATTATTTATTTTGTCATATAACCAACTATCTAGAGTAAAAAGTTTAAAGTTAACATCATACCACAATTTATACTCCTAAACAATCGGTTATTTGGTTTTTAAACTTTGTTTAGAGAAGTAATTGATTTATAGAAAGTGAATTGAGATGTAATTCCCTCGACCTAGAGACGAGAGAGAAAGCGTTGAAACCACTGCAGTTGAAATTGTCGGCCATTTTGCCGATACAGCTCCATCCATAATATTACTAGAATATATGTACTACAGTTAAATCACTCTCTATAGTAGATGCAGTAATAGGGGAAATAATTATAATGTGTAATTATTTTAACCATATTATATTAACATTATATGTATAATAATACGTTATCTATATTTTTATATGTATGCATAATAATTTCCATCTGTTCATTGCTGAAACTTTAACATACTTTGTAAATTTTATTTTTTCATTCTGTAACTTTTTTGAACACTTACCTAAAGAAAAATTTATAATATAACAAAGCGCGTCTAGCAGCTGTTGATATTTCTCGAAACAAGAAGGTTTTCACAATCAGATATAATTCAGAAAATGTAGTCACAACTGTTGCAGCGAAGTAAACTATAATACTTGGAGATATGGCAACCGTCACAATGCGCCGCTTGAACTGAACTGAGGGTTAATATTCAATGTGGATGTATTTTAAATAAACGGCACTACCCAGCTGAAGTACGAAGTCTCGTGAGAAAAAGGATGGCTTTATGTGCCGGAAAAACATTGAAAGGAGATGAATATAGGAGCACGCACCGGTCGCGTGCGTTTCTAGACATTTACTCACACAACGAAATAAATTACGCACGCGTAAAGGCTATCGATGCGTCGGAATACGTCGAGTTCGACGTCACTGCCCCTCTTTCAGTGCGAAGTTCGGGCAAGATGTTAAGTAACAAATTGATAAAGTTTCCTGAAACTTTATGAAACCGAGTCACGACAACGAAGTGTTAACTTTTTCATCTAAAAGGTTTCACATTATTCCACAAGATATTTTTAATAATGAATCATATCCATGAAAAAAACAGACACCAACTGAGATAAAAAATATCGAATCTAGCTGTTTCTTGCAGTTTTGCCCGCGTGAATCAGTATATAAAATATGTGTGTTAAGTTAGAACATATAGTAACAAATATCCATACTTGTTCACAAACTTTCACATTTATACTATTAGTAGAATTTTAACCCGTGTTATTTGTTTTATTTTACGTATAATTTAAGATTTTACTTCACAAATAATTATTAGAATTAGGTACCAACAACTTCAATGAAATTAATTTACTACCTACAATATTTATAGTATAAGATTAATTATTATGTGAATAATCGTGTTAACTGTCAATTAATTAATTTTTTTTTTATGCAAATGTTAAATTTTAATAGGACCTGGACAATTGCATACCAGATTTAGGCAAATTGATTCACCAATAGAGGTAAGTAACACAGCTCAAAATTATAGTGTATTAATATAGATAGGAATAAAAGAAAAAAAAAAATTTTCTAAATCGATTTATAAAGAACGGCGTTCTGAGGGAACAAACATAAAAAAATACAACCTAACGGAAAAGGGGAACGAAAACCTTCGCCTTTTTCTAAAACAGTTGAAAAATAATAGCGGACTCAATATGTATTTATTTCTTTTATTAATAATTATTAAAAAATATTTTCGCATATTAATAATATTTGTAGAAAAAAAAAACTAAGTAGATCTAACTATCATCATAGATCTACTTATTTTTTTTAGACTTGGTTAACATTTGTGGTTTCCTGTTGCAATTCGAGATTTAGGTACAAATACTGCGTTGGTACATTGGTTTAAAAGAAAACTCCACATCGCTTCAACCAAAATAAACTGCCGAGTTGATGATGCAAAAACCAGGAATTACAAAACGTCAATGCACCGAGCTAAATAAAGATGGCTCGAATTCATCTAACAAACAAACGGACACATTCACATTTATAATATTAAGAGGATTTATGAACTCTTTCTTGAAACAAAATTATATATTATGTAGGTATTTATATGACTAATCTATCCAGTATGTTTCCTTTCCTTATTCACTACATAAAATTCATACAAATTGATATAACTTACTCATTAAAAACAATAGATAAATAGATATTGAATGATTAAGGCTATGTTTGACAACATATCACGATTTCAGATAGTATTTTCCCGCATTTCATTAGACACAAAATGCGTAATCTGATAAGGTAATGTTTGTTGTCGAGCTTATCTTGATAAGTAACTTGATATATGACAAGCTTATATCCTAGAAAGATATCATTTGTAAATTCTTAAATACTAACACAATAATAATGTACTCCTATAATATCATTATTAAACAAAATATTGTATGACGAGCAATAATTCATTTACATAGCGTGCAAACTACATAGTTGTGGTACGATAAGATAAATGGATTTAGAGATTTGTTTAAATTAAGTTTCAAATGCCTTCTTTGATACTAAGAATAAACAGTTAAAGATTATGTGTTTATTGTCTTCTGCCACGAGCCAAAATGGATGAATGTGCAACGAAACATTTAATATTTTAAAGGATTTTAATTTTTTTTTATATATATTTTTGTAAAAAGTGTCTTTCTAGACTACTAGAATAACTGGATAATCAATTTACGGCCTAAATGAGAGGCTAAGCGCGGAAAATAGAGTCTTTTTCACATTCACATTCACATTCTAGATAACCAAAGCTGATATTTATTATTTGGAAATATTCAAAAGGAAAAAATATGACGAGAATATATTTTAGTGCTCCATATCATTTAAAGATTAAGCGGTGATCTACAAGGTCTTGTGTGGTGATTATTTATTAATAGATTATTGATATATAATTGCTGATTCCGTTTCAAAAATTCATAAAGGAACCCTTTTTTTAAAATCATTCCTGCGTTTATTTGTCTCCTAATTTGAATATCCTGACTTTTAATTTAGTATATCACTTACTCTCGTCGTGCTCTAGTTAACACATACATTCGAAAAAACATCGACAATTAGAACCTTATTAAGTGACTCCAAACAAGGAGGTTTTCGTTTTAGCGATATTTCGGGCATGTTATACTATATACTTACCTATCTTTCTATATAATTTCTTTGCAATCAAAATTATTTATTCCCATTTTATCTCATATTACAAGTAATTTTGTCATGATTTACTCGTTGTTGACATTTTATTCTAGAAGAAATTTATAAATTAATAGATACAGTTGTTGAAGATACAAAAATGTAGTCTATGACCTTCTCACTATCAAATATTTCGCGCATACCAAATTTGATGCTATTTAATTTGGTTGAGCCATTGAAAAGTTAAAAGAAACAAGCAAACAAACAAGCTCATTTCAATTTTCTTTATCATCTTGGTCTTAAAATCAAATTATCAAATAATATTTTTACTTTATACATCGTTTTGTATGGGCATAAAAGAAGATATAATAATAAACCATTGACAGGTCCTGAACATGATCGGATTACCCACAACTATATTGGTCATAACACTGTCCACACATAAAATGAAACCCACTCAGTTCGCAGAAGCCAATGTTTAGAAAACACGAAGTGTTATGTTCAGAAGAACAACAAACCTTCAAATTAAAAAGTAAGAATTATTGGTAGATGTTCGTAAAAATATTTTGTCAAATTTATCAAACAACACAATCGTTTGCATCACTTTCTCACGATTCATTATTTTTAACAGTCAACATCTAGAGTCGATGAACATTGAACACCCACAGATTTCTAAAATCTTTAAATATCATTGCGTAAATAGGATTTTTATGACGATTAGCATCAGTAGTTGAATATCGTATAAAATACATTTTGTTAAATATAATACAATGCCATTTGTATATGGTCGTGTAGTCTCGGCATAGAATAGACCGCCCCCTTCCTTTCCCGTGGGTATCGTAAAAGGCGACTAATGGAACTTCATGCTTGAGGGATGAACAACAAGATCTCTCTTAAAACAACACCAAAGCCTAACTAAAGATGCCAATCCGCCTGCCAGGCATGAAAACTACCGACCAAAAGCAGTGGACCGTTAACGGCTGTATCATGAGCATTATTATCATAGATTACGAAGTACAAAGGTTTTAAAAAAGGTAATGTACTCATCGATCTTTGATGCTAACTGTACAGTCAGGAGTAAATACTTGTCATATACATCAAACACAAATCGCAAACAATTTGAACTTATCGAACTTCCAATGGATATTCATAACCAGTAAAAACCAGTATCATTTACAATTTCGAGACACGGACGTGTATATTAAATATTTAGCATTATTATCTCGTAGTGAGGTGACCTAAACTTTGCGCAATTCAAATTATCTGTCACATTTTAAGTAAACAAATAATTAGGTATGAAAAACTATTTTTATTTAGACTTTAAATGTAACAAAAACTATGTCAACAGTATGTCTTATTACCTATTCTCAAACAATTTTTTTTTTACCAATCACTTTGATTTCTCATTAAAAAAAATATTAAGTGAGTTTGTGCTTTCTTTTTTTATAACAATTGATACTTGTTCATAGAAAGGAAAACGTGCTTTGTTGACCCCGAATAATGGAACTAAGAAAAATCGTAACAGTAAATTTTCTAAAATAAAACGAGAAGTATGCTACAGTCTATACATATTTTCCAGGAGCGGTGCATTGTTAGTCATGTGGATATTAGTCACCTTTGCTAGCAATATACTCTGTCAGGTCGCCCTTCACGCGGTCATTTTGGAAAACATAGTAATAAATTCCTATTAATATCGCCAAGATAGGCCAACTGCCATTACTTCATTCTCACCTATCATCCCTCACCAGTACCCGAGCCATATAAACTGATAGCGCACGCGTGGTTACCATTTCATTATCACCTATTAAAAATAATATGTACTTATATATATTTTTTATTAAGACCAGTTACTAACACATCGTTAATATGGAAAAATACATGTTTAATATCTATACGTATTGTCTTTATTAACCGACTTCAACAAGAAGGACATTTGAAATTTATTCATATTTTTTTATTACCTCATGACTCTGTCAGTTGTAAACCAATTTGAGAATGAACGGCAAGGGATTGTTAGTAACGGAATCTGATTTCCCTATAACTAGCAATACACCTTATCAAATCGACCTCCACTGGAAACTATCGTGATTAATTCTAGTGGGATTCGTCACGATTGGCTAACTGACCTCTCATCCCTCACTATTGCTCCGCCAGTGTATACCGATAACAGGCGGGGTTACAATTCCATTAACATACATAAAAAAAACGATTTGAAAAATGTTTTTTAATTTAACATTTAACAGATAGATTCCATAGAATTTTTATCAAAATCACTATCACTCATTAAGAACACCATAACCCTTAAAAGCGGCAACGTATTAAAAAGAACCATTGGCGCAACAAGATTTCTGTGGTCTATGTGTTGCCATTAAGCTATACGTAATATATATCTCTAAGCGGAGTTTACTTATTTCCAGCAGGCTCTTTCTAATTTCAATGTGCTTGACTTATATCCATTAGTTGGTATCTGAGATAAGATAGAAATCGAAAACCTCACCTGCGTTAACGGCCCCGTTTTTAATAATCTAATCCCTCCCCCTGCCATTTTAAATA